TTTGTGAATCCCTGTACTAGGGCATCTCCCAATTAGCTCAGCATTTTTAGCAGCTATCCTAGCTGAACGCCGTCTGTGCTCTGTCTCTTTTCGTCTCTCTAGAAATGTGGGCACTTTCAAACCCTCATAATCTGATTCTTCTTCTCCCACCAATTCCTGAGCACTTCCCTGCTCCCCTTCCTCTTCCGAAGATGAGGAATCCCTAACAGGACACGAGAGAAGCCTCCCACATCCAGGCATACCCTGGGCAACATCCTTGTAGACCTAGGCCAATTCTCTCATAGAATCATAGAATCAAAGAGTTGGAAGAGACCTCATGGGCCATCCAGTCCAACCCCCTGCCAAGAAGCAGGAATATTGCATTCAAATCACTCCTGACAGATGGCCATCCAGCCTCTGTTTAAAAGCTTCCAAAGAAGGAGCCTCCACCACTCTCCGGGGCAGAGAGTTCCACTGCTGAACGGCTCTCACAGTCAGGAAGTTCTTCCTCATGTTCAGATGGACATATAGAAGCGACTTGAAGTTTCTGAAGTTACTCCTGACACGAAAAAAAAATGTCAGTAATTGGCAAAATGGATTCAACAGTGGGAGAATGGGGTTCTGCTAATAATTTAGTGCTTGGATCTTGTGGATCTGGTGCCTGCCTAGCATTACGACGACTGACTGAAGTCATAAAGAATAAGAACACATTTCAAAGATTTCTGCGAGGCACCAAAGAAGCAGCACATCTTAGCACAGTGGGGTGGTGACACGCTGATTCTGAACGCTGAGCAAGTTGCTTTAATATTCCTTTCAACGCATTTGCAAACCGATGTCACTTCCACCCTAAAAGGCACTCACTCACAGGGAGTTACATAAAAGCTCAGCAACCGAGCTTACATCTTCCCTTTTGTGATGTGATGCTGGGAGGATGCAATCTGAAGCAAAGTGGTGATGTAATACAAGCGTGTGCTTATGCCTTCCACTTACTGCTCCTGTTCGACTGCAACGCCCTACTACCCTGCTTGTTCTATTACCACTAAGCATCTCCGTTTCCAAAGCAACCACAGATGTCTTGCAGCATGCCCGCTGGTAAAATCTCTGGGTGGTAGTGAATGAATGTCTTTCGTTCATTCATCATATTCCAGATTTTTTGAAAAGAAAAGAAATAGACCTGTTATATCATTTTTTCTTACTGTAATACCGCACAAGTTTGTTCAGTCAACCCAAAGATTGTGAGAGTGCCCTGCTTCCTGTTGAACTCATACTACCAGGGACTGATGTAAGCAACAAATAGACCTGAGTCAACCTGCCTTAGGATTCTTCAAGTTCAAGTATGGTATATGGGAACAGGACAAAGCACTACAATCTGTTCTACCCTGGACATGTTGGAAGGCAAAAGAAAAAGTGCATATACACAGACAGGATGAGCTGTGAGCTGGCAATCTTCCAAGTAATTCTGTTCTTTTGTGCCCAGGAACCCTGGTAGTGCTCAATCTGTGATCCTACAAATGCTTTTGTAGGTTCGGCTCCCAAGAACCTACTGACAATTTTCCATTGCCATCCTCTATAAAAAATACTAAATATGTGCATACTGTATATACTTGAGTATAAGCCAATCCGAATATAAGCCTAATTTTACCACCAAACACTGGAAAAACATATTGACTCGGGTATAAGCCAAGGGTGGGAAATGAATCAGCTACTGGTAAATTTCAAATAAAAATAGATACCAATAAAATTACATTAATTGAGGCATCAGTATCTTAAATGTTTTTGAATATTTACATAAAACTGCAATTTAAGATAAGACTGTCCAACTCTAAATAAAACATGATTCTAACCTTCTTCAATGTAAATGTGCTTACGCATCCTTCCAATAATAATAGAGAGTAAAATAATAAATGTAATAATAATTATATTAATAATAACAGAGTAAACTAATAAATGTAATAATGATGATAATCATCATCATCATCATCATCATCATGTGGGACTTTCAAATCCAAACTGACAAAGTTTTGGAACACAATACGCCAAACATCACGACTGTGGAAAAGAAAAAAGTTTGGATAATTGATGTTGCCCTATCGGATGATAGTCACATTGTCGAAAAACAACAGGAAAAAATCAGAAGCCCTGCTCTAAACAATACGATGGTCATGCAGGCTGGGATTTCTGGGAGTTAAGGTCCAAATCATCTGGAAGACCAAAGGATGAAAACCAGTGGTATAAGCAAGTACATTTTGTGATAGTGCCTTACAGGTCAGCTTTCACTTCCAGTGCTTCAGTCACAATGAAATAGGTGGTTCTTAATTTGCAACATTTTGATCTTTGAACCACATGAGCCTTTTGAGATAATAGCAGAGGTCTATCGAAGTACACAATCTAGTTTCTCACAGAGGCCAATCAGATGCTTCTAGGAAGCCCACAACTATTACAGAAGGACAACAGCCTACAACTGAACGCTTCTTTCAGAACTCTTTAGCATCGATCTTAGTTAATATTTTAATGGGAAACCATCAATGAATAACAATTGCTGTGTCCTAATTCTGAGGAAAGAACTGGCAAAACCACCTCTGAATATTCCTTACCTAAGAAATCCCCGCACAATTCATAGGGTGATTATAAGTATATAAAGCTACTTGATGGCACACACACATACAGATAACAATCCCTTGATGGCACACACGCATACAAATAACAATCCCTTCAGGATAAGTGGTTATTCTTTGAAAGGCCAATCCTGGAACAGCGTAGCGTAAAAAACCAAGAACTTCATAGAGTCCAAGTGGAATGTATGGTAAAATATACTATTAAGATTCCTAGCACACAAAAGCTAAGTACCAAGGGGAAGAGAATGCATACTTCTGATCATACAAGTCTTACGAATATGTGAGAGATTTGGAAAAGTGAGTTATAATTTGTTCCCTTCGGTAATTCAGCCGTTCAGCTTCCGAGCACAATTCAAAGTGCTGGTTTTAACCTTTAAAGCCCTAAATGGTTCTGGCCCAGATTACCTGTCCGAACGTATCTCCTGTTACGAACCATCACGCTTAAGATCGTCAGGAAAGGCCCTGCTCTCGATCCCACCACTTTCGCAAACGCGGTTGGTGGGGACAAGAGACAGGGCCTTCTCGGCAGTGGCCCCCCGTCTGTGGAACTCTCTCCCTAAGGACATCAGGTTGGCCACCACCCTCCTGTCCTTTAGAAGACAACTGAAGACTTGGCTTTGGGACCAGGTGTTCGATTAGTGGACAGCAGCAACTGGAAAGAAACTTAGGATATCTGCAACATTGGATTTACCCTGATTTAGATTTGGTTTTAATGGGCATGCTGAATTTATTGTTTAATGAATTGTATAATGTGTTTTTAATGTTTTTTAATGTTTTAAATGTGGTTTTTGGTTGTTTATATGCTGATAGCATAGCACTGAGTCCCCCTTACGGGGGAGAAGGGCAGGTTATAAATGCATGAAATAAATAAATAAATAAAATAATTTACCCTCCTATTGTTGACATAAGCAAGTTTTTCCTCCAAAGCAACAGAGCTAGAACTAAGAGCAAAACTAATGTGACACTGGCTCCCTCTACAGGTCAAAATGGAAATATATAATTCTTTCTTCTAAATCCACAAAAAGCCAAAAACTATCATTGAAAACTAATAGCAACAAAGACCATCATGCCATTGGGTTGCTGTGCATTTTCCGGGCCATATTCCAGAAGCATTCTGGCCATGTTCCAGAAGCATTCTCTCTGACATTCCACCCACATAAACTGGCAGCCGGTTCAGTTCTGAGCACAATTCAAGGTGCTGGTTTTGACCTACAAAACCCTGTACGGTTCCGGTCCAGTGTATTTGTCCGAACGTATCTCCCTCTACGTCCCACCCCGGAGTCTGGGATCATCTGGGGAGGCCCTGCTCTCGACCCCACCGCTATCACAAGTGAGGTTGGTGGGGACGAGGAGCAGGGCCTTCTCGGTGGTGGCCCCTCACCTGTGGAACTCACTCCCGGGAGAAATTAGGGCATCAACATCCCTCCTCTCCCTCAGGAGGAAAGTAAAGACGTGGTTGTGGGACCAGGCCTTTGGGCAATCTGACAACTAGATAAGGACAATCAAACTACTAGGACTGACAGGACTGACAATGTGGAATTGGAAATTGGACTATGAGATAGCGAATGCTGACCGTCTATGAGGAGTAATTGGGATTTTATTGTTTTATTGGTTTTATTGGTTTTAGGGTTGTAATGTAGGAATTGTTGTTTAACTGTTCAACTGTTTAACTGTTTAATTTATGTTATTTTGTTTTACTACTGTTATGTGATGCTGGCATCGAATTGTGCCTTTGTAAGCCGCCCTGAGTCCCCATCGGGGTGAGAAGAGCGGGGTAGAAGAAACCGAAATAAATGAATGAATAAATAAATAAGCATCCTCAGAGCTTGTGAGGTCTGTTGGAAACTAAGCAAGTGCGGTTTATCTATTGTTGGAATGTCCAGGGTGGGAGAAAGAACTCTTGTCTGTTGGAAGCAAGCGTGAATGTTGCAATTGCCCACCTTGATTAGCAATGAATGGCCTTGCAGCTTCAAAGCCTGGCTGCTTCCTTCCTGGGGAAATCCTTTGTTCTTTCTCTCACCTTGGGACATTCCAAATATATATATATATCACCCCTCCCCACCCCCAGATGTTTCATAAGGCATTTTTGTGGTTGCTACATGAATGTAAGCTGGGACCAGGAATATCTATCCCTAAGTGGCTATAAGTATTCCTAACCCTATGTATCCACATGAATCATGTTGCCCTGGTCTAAAGGAATAATGTGTGAGAACAATGTGAATAGAGCATGCATGGGCAAACTTTGGCCCTCCAGGTGTTTTGGACTTCAACTCCCATAATTCCTAACAGCCGATAGGCTGTTAGGAATTATGGGAGTTGAAGTCCAAGACATCTGGAGGGCCAAAGTTTGCCCATGCATGGTATAGACTATTCATTTTCACAATGCTTTTTAAAAATAAAACTTACATGTTTTGAGTTTTCGGCCAGGAACACAATATATACACTACAAAACCCCAACTGTGTCACCACAAGGAAGAAGTCGACAATATGTCTGTGAGGAGACAAAAGAAGAGAAAGAAAGAAAAAATCACTTTAGTGAGCTGGTTTTCTGATTTGCAGTGAGAAAATGATTTCCAATAACAATCAATTGCACTGAAGATGCCAGATCATTCTTTCTGTGGGAGAAGCCGCTCAGTGTACGTGACATATAATGCACAGAAAAATCATTAAAATGTGAGATGGGGTCTTGAAAGGACAACCACACAATAAAATCCAAATTAAAAATAGTAAACAAACTTTATTTCCCTTAAGAGTATAGGAATCCTCTGCTTATTTGACAGGTTAGGGAACAGAGCACTATCAAAAACTGGATTTTTATTTTATTTTTGTAGTTTTGGAATACGTTTATTTGCATATATGTACATAATTTTTTAGTTGGGGCCCAAGATTCGACACAAAATTCATTTATGTTTCATAATCATCATTGGTTAGGTAAGGTTTGCCCCTGACATTAAGTCTAGTCTTGTTCGACTCTGGGGGATGGTGCTCACCTCCATTTCTAGATGAGCTGGCGTTGTCCGTAGACACCTCCATGGTCATGTGGCCGGCATGACTGCATGGAGTGCCGTTACCGTCCTGCCGGAGCGGTACCTATTTTCATGTTATCGAACTGCTAGGTTGGCAGAAGCTGTGGCTAACAGTGGTAGCTCACCGCGCTCCCTGGATTCGAACCTGTGACCTTTCGGTCAGCAAGTTCAGCAGCTCAGCGGTTTAAACCACTGTGCCACCAGGGGCTCAATGTAAACATATAAATCATATATGTTTATATGATTACCATCTGTACCCGCCACGTGTTGCTGTAGCCAACCTTCCCGCCTTCTTTCTCTCCTCCTTTCTTTCTCTCCTTCATTCCTTTTCTTTCGTTCTCTTTACTTCCTTCCCTCCCTCCCTCTTTCCTTCCTTTTTTCCCTTTCTTTTTCTCCTTCCTTCCTTCCTTCCTTCTCTTCTTCCCTTCCTTCCCCCCACCTTTTCTTTCCCTTCCTCTTTCTCCCCTTTCTTCTTTCTCTACCTGTTACTGGACTACAACTCTCATCAGTCTCCCTGATTGATCTATCTATCTATCTATCTATCTATCTATCTACCTACCTACCTACCTACCTATCTATCTATCTGTATCTAATCTATCTATCTGGAGGATTGCTGGGAGTTGTAGTCCAGGAATAGGAAACTGGAATTATGCAGGGATTGGGATGCTCTCAAAGAAATCTAAGGAGAAGAAAGTGTGCAGCTTGGAAACAATGCATTTGGATCATACTCCTCTCCTAAAGGGCCTGTGTCTATGGGATGTTAGGAACTGTAGTCTGGAAGAGTGTGTGGTGGATAAGCTATTGAGTATTTTGTTTGCCAGGAGGAGTCATTTTTGTGCATGCACTGTAGCGTCTTTTTGCCTTTTTGGGCTTTTAAAGTCCCTTCTGCTGTGGTTTTCGGTGTTTTTATGAATGATGGTCACTCGTTGGCCTGATAGGTGTCTTGTGTCCAAATTCAGTGTCCATTTGTCCAGTGGTTTTTGAGTTATGTTAATCCCACAAACGAACATTACATTTTTATTTATATACTAGCCGTCCCCTGCCACGCATTGCTGTGGCCCAGTCTGTATATATGTGTTTTGTGTGTATATATATATGTTTAAATATTTGTGCATCTGTGTATATATGTGTGTTTGCGTATATATATGTGTGTGTGTGTGTGTGTGTGTGAAGATGTGTATATATGTGTGTATATATTTGTGTGTATATGTGTATTTGTATATTGTGTATAAGTGTGTGCTTGTCTATATGCATATTTGTGTTTATATATATGTGCATGTGTATATGTGTGCGTGCATGTGTATATGTATATATGTGTGTGTATGTAGATATGTGTGTGTATATTTGTGTGTGCTTGGGTATATATATATATATATATATATATATATACACACACACACACATGTGTATGTATGTGTGTATATGTACATGAGTGTGTGTGTGTGTGTATATATATGTGTGTGTATGTGTGTGTGTGTATGGATATATATATGGTGTATTTCTGGGGGTTTTAAGTCCGTTCTGCTGGGTTTTGTTATTTGTTTTTTGTAACTTTAGGGGTGATGAACACTCATTGGTGTGTTAGGGGTGTACTGTCCAAATTTCGTGTCAATTCGTCCAGTGGTTTCTGAGTGACGTTAATCCCACAAACAAACATTACATTTTATTTATATAGATAAACATATAATCACCATATAAACAGGTAATTTTATGCAACAATTTTAATGATGTTGTGCATGAAATAAAGTTTGTAGACACTGAATCACCAGAAAGCAAAGGTGTCTTCTGCCTTAGCAGATAATTTCAGATTTTGGAATACCAGATACAGGATGCTCAGCCTTTACTATTACTCTACCTGTTTAAGCATTGTGTCGTAACTGGGGCAGATAAAAGATGTTTAAAATGGAAGCACTTCCTGCCAGTGAAGAGTATATTCACTGAAATACATTTGCCGCTCATTTATTTTCATGGCCTTCAGCTTCACAGAGCCTAAGAGTCTTATACAATTTCTATTATGTGAATATAGGGCTTGCAATATACTCGTTTTAATGCCAGTAATTCAACCAATGTTTTAATATATATTTTTCGTATGATAAGTAATTGAGTTAATAAAGGACCAAGCTCACCTTCCCCAATGGGCTCGTTTCTGCATAAAGTCAAAAGGCCCGGCTTCTATTGCATGGCTAACTGTGTCGCTATACCCTAAGGAAGACTTTTTCAACCTAAGACATACGAGAGAGAAAAGAATCATTACTTTCCCACCTGGAATTAATGAATAAGGTAAAAGTTTGCAAAGTGGGTTTTGCCTTGTTTTAAAAACACACAAAGCAGAGCAAGCATATATATAGTTTTAATTCCACAGCTATGGAAACTGGAGCCATAGATTAAGATACCTTTGAACTGTCATATGTTTAAAAGTAAAGACTATTTCCACAGTCAGGAAGGCTGCAAGAAAAAACAAAACCTAGAAAGATGCTTATTTATTTGATACAGTTATACTTTGCCTTTCCTCCAGTAAGTTCCAAATGGCATACCCTATATACTCGAGTATAAGCCGACTCAAATATAAGCCGAGGCACCTGATTGTACCACAAAAAACTGGGAAAACTTATTGACTCGAGAATAAGCCAAGGGTGAGAAATGCAGTAGCTACTTGTTAATTTCAAAATAAAAATAGCTATCAATAAAGTTACATGAATTGAGGCATCACTAGCTTAAATATTTTTGAATATTTACATAAAACTGTAATTTAAGGTAAGACTGTCCAACTCTGATTAAACCATTATTCTAACCATCTTCATATTAAATGTGCTTACATATCCTTCCAATAATAATAGAGAGTAAAATAATAAATGTAATACAAATAAAATAATAACAGAGTAAAATAATGTAAATGTAATAATAATAGAGTAAAATAATAAATGTAATAATAATAATAATAAAGTAAAATAATAAATGTAATAATAACAATAATAAAGTAAAATAATAAATGTAATAATAACAATAACAAGTATAGTAAATAATAAATCAGTCAGTCAGTCAGTAGCCTTTATTTCAGTCAACAAACCATTGGCTAAGTCAAGTGAAAGTAGGTTGATGAAATACAACAATTAACAATTAATAACAAAATAATAAATGTAACAAGCATAATACAGTAAAATAATAAATGTAGTAATAACAATAATAAAGTAAAATATAAACATAATAATAGATAAAATAATAAATGTAATAATAATAGATAAAATAATGTAAATGTAATAATAATAATAAAGTAAAATAATAAATGTAATAATGACAATAACAAATATAGTAAATAATAAATGTAACAAACATAATACAGTAAAATAATAAATGTAGTAATAACAATAATAAAGTAAAATATAAATATAATAATAGATAAAATAATAAATGTAATAGTAAAATAATAAATGTAATAATAATAATAGAGTAAAATAATGTAAATGTAATAATAATAATAATAAAGTAAAATAATAAATGTAATAATAAAAATAACAAATATAGTAAATAATAAATGTAGTAATAACAATAAAGTAAAATATAAATATAATAGATAAAATAATAAATGTAATATTAATAGAGACAAATATCTGTAATAATAATAATAGAGTAAAATGATGTAAATGTAATAATAATAATAATAATAATAATAAGTAAAATAATGTAATAAAAATAATGATAATAACAGAATAAAATAATAAATAACTTTGACTCGAGCATAAGCCAAGGGAGGCTGTTTCAACCTAAAACCCCCGGTTTATATTTGAGTATATATGATATATGATTTTCTAATGTAGATCAGGTTTGCCCAAGCTCACCTAAGGTGCATCTGCACAGTAGAATTAATTCAATTTGACACCACTTTACTGTCATGGCTCAATGCTATAGTATCCTGGAATTTGTAGATTGATGAGGCACCAGCACTCTTTGGCAGAGGCTAAAGACCTAGTAAAACTACATCTCCCAGGATTCCATAGCACTGGGCCATGGTTGGTAAAGTTGTGTCAAACTGCATTAATTCTACAGTGTAGATGCATCCTTAATGGGTTTCACATTTACCAGAAACTAGAGCCATGGATTTTCCAAACCCCATTGATTAGTAGAAACAATATGTCACCAACCAACCTCAAATCTCTGTGTCCTTTGAGTTTCAATTCAATTTAACCCCTCACAATTAATTAAGCAACATTGATGCTCCAAAGAAGTGTTGTGAGCTATCCTCCTTGAAATGGAAAAGATTTGGGGAGCATTTTGGCCTTTAATGGGCAATTTAGATTCATTTGTTGTTGTTGTTTTTTAAAAAAAAAAAGTACCTCCTCACAGAGTGGATGATATACAACACTCCTCACAGAGTGGATGATATACAACAGACACATGACACAATTATAGCACTCCTCACAGAGTGGATGATATACAACAGACACATGACACAATTATAGCACTTTGATACCACTTCAACTGCCATGGTTTAATCCTATGGAGTTTATACTTGAGGGCAGTACTTCACAACCTTCCTAATTTATTTTATTTATTTATTTACTTCATTTGTTGACCGCCGCTCTCAGCCCTGGGGCGACTCGCGGCGGTGTACAACATGTAAAAAACCATCTACAAAACATACAATATAACAACAATCAAATTACACAATTAATCTAAATTACACTAATAGATCCGCGTCATCACAACATAGAGTCATAGCCAGTCTCATAATCCATAGTCCGTTCCAAGTATCACAACCAAATTCGTGTGGGTCTCAATTAAATGCCTTGTCGAATAGCCAGGTTTTTAGGCTCTTACGAAAAGCCATAAGAGAGGGCGCCTGTCTGATGTCAACAGGGAGGGCGTTCCACAGCCGGGGGGCCACCACTGAGAAGGCCCTTTCTCTCGTCCCCGCCAGACGTGCCTGTGAGGCAGGCGGGATCGAGAGAAGGGCCTCCCCAGACGATCTCAAGGCCCTCGTGGGCTCATAGGCCGAGATGCGGTCCGAAAGGTATTTTGGGCCGGAACCGTTTAGGGCTTTGTAGGATAACACCAGCACTGGGCCCGGTAGCAGATCGGCAGCCAGTGGAGCTGGGACAACAAGGGCGTTGTGTGCTCCCTGCGTCCCGCTCCCGTTAGTAACATGGCTGCCGCGCGCTGGACTAGCTGAAGCTTCCAGGCCGTCTTCAAGGGCAGCCCCACGTAGAGAGCGTTGCAGTAGTCAAGGCGGGATGTGACCAGAGCATGTACCACCGTGGCCAAGTCAGACTTCCCAAGATACGGGCGCAGCTGGCGCACGAGCCGAAGCTGTGCAAATGCTCCCCTGGTCACCCCTGAAACCTGGGGATCCAGGCTCAGATGAATCCAGGGTCACACCCAAGCTGCGAACCTGCGCCTTCAAGGGGAGTGCGACCCCGTCCAGCACAGGCTGTAACCCTATACCCTGTTCGGCCTTGCGACTGACCAGGAGTAACTCTGTCTTGTCTGGATTTAATTTCAGTTTGTTCGCCCTCATCCAGACCATTACAGCGGCCAGGCACCGGTTCAGGACCTCGACAGCCTCCTTAGTAGCAGGTGGAAAGGAGTGACAGAGTTGGACATCATCTGCGTACAGATGACACCGCACCCGAAACTCCGGATGATCTCACCCAGCGGCTTCATGTAGATATTAAACAGCATGGGGGACAGTATAGAACCCTGTGGAACCCCACAGGGCAAAGGCTGTGGTGTTGAACAGCAGTCCCCCAATAACACCTTCTGGGTACGACCCTCCAGAAATGACTGGAGCCACTGCAGGGCAGTGCCCCCAAGACCCATTTCCGCAAGGCGCCCCAGAAGGATACCGTGGTCGACGGTATCGAAGGCCGCTGAGAGGTCCAGGAGCACCAACAGGGACACACTCCCCCTGTCTAGCTCCCGGCGCAGATCATCCACTAAGGCGACCAAGACCGTCTCGGTACCATGTCCCGGTCTGAAACCAGACTGTGCCGGAGCCAGATAATCCGTGTCTCTCAAGAATACCTGGAGTTGTGAGGCCACCACGCTTTCCATGACTTTGCCCAAAAAGGGGAGATTGGAAACAGGCCGAAAGTTGTCAAATTTAGTGGGGTCCAATGATGGTTTCTTCAACAGCGGTTTTATAATTGCTTGTTTTAAGCACGCTGGAATCTTGCCTTCCCGGAGGGAGGCATTAACCACCACCGTTACCCACTCAGCCAATCCCCCTCTGGCCTCTTTCAGGAGCCAGGATGGACAGGGGTCTAGGATGGACGTGGTAGGCCTCATTCCTCCAAGTATCTTGTCCACATCCTCGGGTTTCACAAACTGAAAAGAATCCAACAAAATAGGACAAGCAGGTGCTCGTGTCACATCCCCAGAGACTGCATTTAACATGGTGTCCAGCTCAGAACGGATCAAAGCGACTTTGTCTGCAAAGAACCGAGCAAATGCTTCACAGCGCGTGACCGAATTGTCAGGGCTCCCGCCTGAGGTGGCGGGAGTTAAGAGACCTCTGACAATCCGAAACAACTCCGCCGGACGGTTCTTTGCAGACGCAATAGAAGCTGCAAAGAAGGTTTTCTTTGCGGCTTTTATTGCCGCGGCGTATGCCCTTAGAAAGGACACAAACCGTGTTCGATTTGACTCGCTTGGGTCTGAACGCCACACGCTCTCCAGTTCCCTCTTCCTTCGCTTCATCACTGCCAGCTCCTCAGTAAACCAAGGAGCTGGTTTAGCTCGGCTACTTGAGAGGGGACGTTCCGGAGCGATCGTGTCAATTGCCCTGGTCATCTCCCCATTCCAGAGAGCGACCAAGGCCTCGACATGGTCACCTACCGAGGAGGCGGGAAAATCCCCAAGAGCCGTCAGGAATCTATTCGGATCCATAAGCCTCCTGGGGCGGACCATCTTAATGGGTCCTCCACCTTTGCAGAGGTTAGGGGGTGCAGTGAGCCTAAATCCCGCGACCCCTTAATACAATTCCTCATGTTGTGGTGACACCGCACCATAACATTATTTTCATTGTTACTTCATAACTGTAATTTTGCTACTGTTATGAATCGTAATGCAAATATCTTACATGCAAGATGTATTTTCCTTCACAATTTGGCACTAATACCCAATATGCCCAAATTTGAATACTGGTGAGGTTGGGAGGGATTTATTTTATCATTTGGGAAATGTATAATGTGAGCAATGCATAGCTGTGCAAAGGAAAGCTTAAGGCCTTACATAAAACTGAAATTTAATATGGAATTTGTAACTCTGAGAAATTATTATTATAACATATACTCTTCAATATAAATGCTTTTACTCGTTGTTCTTGTATACCTTGAAATCATTTCCATCTCAAGATGACCATAAAGTAAACTCATCAACTTCTGGGACAATAACTGTGGGTCATTCAAGGTCACCAGTGGATTCCCAGTGGGGAATCGAAACCTGGTCTCCAGAGTCATTACCCATAGTGCCTATATAACGTATACTGCCTTTAAGCACAAAATTTTGAACCACATCAACAGGGGATTTTCATCCGATTGGTGACACACCACACTGGCTTACTTAGACTTCAAATAATCATCATAGCTACTATTAGTTGTTAAGGTTTGCATATATTTTGGGACTCTGTGTGTGTGTGTTGAGTCCAATAGTTTTTGAGCTTACACTCAGGATCCCAACATCACACAGTTCTTCTCGCACTCACCTCTGGGAAAAATGCTGGCTGCAACGCACCAAAATGTGCATACAGTGAATTGACACAACTCCAATAAACACAAGACTGATTGGTCCAAGCTGGAAAAAAAAACAGAAGATGAATATAATTAGTAATAGAAATTTCACAAAGTGGACTGATTTATCCCATGCTATTTCTGCAATCTAAACAGTTTAAGGCAGGAGAAGACAACTGCAGAGGATCACAACCACAAGATTTTTCTGGTCATGATAACACAATCAACATGTTTCTAAAAGTCTCACCTAGGACTAGACCAGCTTTTGGAGGGGAGGAACCAATGTAGTTTCCACTTAGAAAGCATTGGAATGCACCAGCAGCAAACCAATTTTTGGCAAAACAATACTGTATTTACTCAGTTGTAATGAACATCTTTTTGGGACTAAACTGCATTACAATCAATGACGTGTAAAAATCACGCATGACCCCCTCACCTGTGCCCCCTCCATCAGGCTGAGGGAAGCGAATTCACCAAGCTTGACCTGACAAAGATGTAGAGGCTTCCCACCTGGCTTCATTCACGAGGCTTTCAACACCATTCCCTCAAATTTTGAAGGTCCTTTGTTGAACTCGCCCAGGCTTTGAAGCTGCAAGGCCATTCAGTGCTAATCAAGGTGGCCAATTGGAACATTCACACCTGCCTCCAACAGACATTTAGCCATTCCACAGATCTATAAACCTCACTTGCCTAGTTTCCAACAGATCTCACAACCTCTGAGGATGTCTGCCATAAATGTGGGTGAAATGTCTGGAGAGAATGCTACTAGAACATGGCCATACAGCCCAGAAAGCACACAACAACCACTAAAACAGCATTTCTCAACCTAGGGGTCGAGACCTCGGGAGGGGGGGGGCACAAGAGAGGTGTCAGAGTGGTCTCCAAATACTGTCAGAAAACACAGTATTTTCTGTTGGTCATGAGGGTTCTGTGTGGGAAGAACGCTCTTTGATTGTAGGTGAACTATAAATCCCAGCAACTACAACTTCCAAATGTCAAGGTCTATTTCCCCCAAACTCCACCAGTACTCACATTTGGGCATACTGAGTATTTGTGCCATTTTGGTCCAGATCCATCATTGTTTGAGTCCACAGTGCTCTCTGGATGTAGGTGAACTACAACTCCAAAACTCAAGGTCAATGGTCACCAAACCCTTCCAGTACTTTCTGTTTAGTCATGGGAGTTCTGGGTGCCATATTTGGTTCAATTTCATTGTTGGTGGAATTCAGAATGCTCTCTGATTGTAGGTGAACTATAAATCCCAGCAACTGACAAAATCAATTCCCCCCAAGCCCATATGTATCCAAATTTCGGCATATCAGGTATTTGTGCCAAATTTGGTCCAGTGAATGAAAATACATCCTGCATATCAGATATTGACATTACGATTCATAACAGTAGCAAAATTACAGTTATGAAGTAACAATGAAAATAATTTTATGGCTGGGGGTCACCACAACATGAGGAACTGTATTAAGGGGTCACAGCATTAGGAAGGTTGAGAACCGCTACACTAAAACGAGGTAGATTATTCCCTTCTCCTAACAAGAAATGAACTATGTATCACTTACCACAATGCCTGAATTCTTTATTGCGAGCGGAAGCCCTAGAAGTCCAGTTCCAATGTTTCCCTTCAAGAGATGTGTGAGTGTTTGGACAAACCTGAAAATTTAGAGGAAAGGGGAAAAAATTCAACAGCATTGGTGAAATGCGCAAGGCCAAAACAACTAGAACATATGTTTGTTTGTTTGTTTGTTTACTGCATTTTTATCCCACCCTTTTCAGCCCAAAGACCACTCAGGGCAGTGCAGACTGATAACAATTAAATGCCATAACATACATATATACATATCAATTAAAAACAGTTAATATCACATAATAAAAGCCCATATAAAACAACTTAAAACTATAATCAGTGTCTACTAGTTCAACTCCTTATCCCTTTACATCGTCTAAGCCGTTCCATGATCGTTATTTCATCATACTATGTTTGTCCAATTACACTTGGTCAAAGAGTGAGGTTTTTACTATTTTCCTAAAGGTCAGGAGAGAGGGGGCCAATCTAATATCCCTGGGAAGGGAGTTCCAAAGCCAAGGGGCCACCACTGAAAAGGCCCTGTCTCTTGTCCCCGCCAGACGCGCTTGCGAGGAAGGTGGGATTGAGAGCAGGGCCTTCCTAGATGATCTTAAATTCCTGGATGGTTCATAAGGAGAGACGTTCGGACAGGTAAGCTGGGCCAGAACCGTTTAAGGCTTTATAGGTTAAAAGCCAGCACTTTGAATTGTGCTCAGTAGCAAACTGGGAGCCAGTGGAGCTGGCGTAACAGAGGAGTTGTATGCTCCCTGAGCATACAGTTAGTAACCTGGCTGCCGCCCGCTGAACCAAGGGCCTTCTCGGTGGTGGCCCCCCAATTCTGAAACTCACTTCCCAGGAACGTCAAGCATGCCCCATCATTGGTAGTCTTTAGGAGGAGCCTGAAAACGTGGCTGTTCCAATGTGCCTTCCCAGAATAAGGAAATAATCCCCAGCAAAATGTCCTCAAATGCACTTTAACTATCCGTTTGGATTGCGCTCCCCTCACTTTTTAAAAATCCTCCTATTAGATATATCCTACCTGTTCATGACCAGCGTTATTTTTTAATTTTTAACTAATACATCTGGCCCAGCCATAGGTTTTAAATCCTTGTATATTAATGTTTATATATGATTTATTTAATTGAATTGTTGTTGTTTTTTGTTTATTGCTTTTTTGTTACTGATGTGATGTGTTGTTGGGCTTGGTCCCATGTAAGCCGCTCCGAGTCCCTTGGGGAGATGGAGGCGAGGTATAAATAAAATATTATTATTATTATTATTATTATTATTATTATTATTATTATTATTATTTGAAGCTTCCGAACAGTCTTCAAAGGCAACTCCATGTACAGCGTGTTGCAGTAGTCTATATGGGATGTAACCAGAGTGTGGACTACCATCGCCAAGTCAGACTTCCCAAGGTACGGGCGCACATGTTCAAATACAAGAAAGACTAGGGACACGAAAAAGTTATTTTCACAGCCAGAAAACGTAATCCTTGAACTTAGAAAAGTTAATTTTTTGGACCAAAATTCTCTTAATTCCCTCAACAACCAGCCCTCAAAATGTAACTTTCCAGTGTCTGATAGTTTTAATTTTTTAATCTTTTTTAAAGTGGGAAATCAATACATACGTAATGCTTTCTTGATCATCAAGCTGATATTTCTTCTCAGCTGGCAGCAATTTACTTTTATGCTCGTCATCACTCTCTGAATCCTGTTCTTCTTCTATTAAAGGCTTCATTACTTCCAGATCTAATAAGGAACAAATTAATGTCACTTTACGAATATTGAGTAAACAGCACTGATAGTTCCCAAGATGTTCTGCAGTTGTCAGGTAATTTATCCTACTTGACGATTAATAGAAACTGCTGATTGAAAAAAATCTCCTGGGTTCAAATAAAATTCAACCCATAACTGCAGATAATTTGTTAAATAGCTTCTTCTACCTGTGTCATTAGTTTAAAGCCGGGAGTGGGCAAATGCAGCAGGTCCTGGGGGCAATTTTCAGCCCAAGAGCATTTAGGGAGGCTACACAGATTGCCAAAAACGCCGCTTCAAAATGAAAACAAAACTGAACAGGTTGGAAGCCCACTTCTGTTTCTGAAATATGGCTAATTGTTAGTGTTAAACAGTACAGGAGGGGCTCTGGCAACTTACCAAAGGGGTAAATTGTCTCTCCTGAGGTCCTTTCACATTACACAATGATAGCACTATGATTCAACTAAGTGCCATGACAACCTCCTATGGACACCTTGGATTTGCAACTCAGACATGTCATGAGGATTGTGGGGCTCTCTGGCAATCATGAACTTGTACATCTTAGACCCCTTCTACACTGTCATATACTAAACCAAATTGCTGTATAATGATTATATGGCATTTCAGAGTGACAACAATCATTTCAGATGGAAAAATGTTCGGATCAGTTTAGACATAATTCATGTGACATAATTGCACCGGGACCGTGGCGCAGCTGTCTGAGTGTCAGCTGCATTAAGAACACTTCTGACCACAATGTTATGAGTTCGAAGCCAGCCTGGGTCGGAGTGAGCTTCTGACCAATTGTGTAGCTTGTTGTCGACCTTTGCAACCCGAAAGACAGTTGCATCTGTCAAGCAGGAAAAATTAGGTACCACCTATGTGTGGGGAGGCTAATTTAACAAAATTTATGAGGCCATAAAAAGACTCCAGCAAAAGCATGCAGGGGAATGCGGAAGTACTTCATCAGTGTCGCAGATGGACGATGAAAGCGATAGCTCCCCTGGCAGCCAGAAACTGTTAAATAGCCTCTGACTGTTAGTCTATATCTGTTGTGTGTCTTTGGCATTGAATGTTTGCCATATATGTGTACATTGTAATCCGCCCTGAGTCCCCTGTGGGGTGAGGACGGAATATACTGTAAATAAATAAATAATAATAATAATTAATTGGTGTAAAGCCAAAGTAAAAGGCCCCCGGTGACACAGTAGGTTAAACTGCTGAGCTGCTGAACTTGTTGAACAAAAGGTTGCAGGTTCAAATCAGGGGAGCGGCGTGAGCTCCCGCTGTCAGCCCCAGCTTCTGCCAACCTAGCAGTTCGAAAACATGCAAATGTGAGTAGATCAATAGGTACTGCTCCAGCAGGAAGGTAACAGCGCTCCAGGCAGTCATGCCAGCCACATTACCTTGGAGGCATCTACCAACAATGCCGGCTCTTCGAATTAGAAATGGAGATGAGCAGCAACTCCCAGAGTCGGACACGACTGGACTTAATGTCAGGGGGAAACCTTTACCTTTACCTTTTACCTAAGGCCAAAGTATTGATTGAACAAAACAGTCCCCTAATTCTTGCTCAAACCTATCCTTTTGCTCTTCATCACAAAATAAAGACTGTGTGTAATTTTATCTGCACTGGTTCCTAAATAGGAGACAGAAAATAAGGAGTTAATATGAGTCTTGAAAAGAAGGCAGGTCAGATTGAATCCAACACAAAGGTGGATCCAAAGCCTTCTGTTGAGGAAAAGATACAGACACTTCTTTGCATTAGTCACCCAAGTGGCACAACTGGTTCAGCAGGTGGATCAGATGAAGAAGCAGACTCTCTTGCTAGACTAGTTACCTGACTATAAAAAGTTGTCATAACTTTGCTTACAGAGGTGTACATATTTGAAATTACATGCCCAGAGGAAATAGAGCAATGTATTCTGTGGCTACAGACATTAACAATAAGTATTTATAAATTATACAAATGAGTTAAAATTCAATTAGGAATAGTCAGTTAACGGCAGTGAGTTTATTTTATTTTATTGTCAGGAATTAAGAACAGCACACCGGTCGCCAAGTTGTAAAACAAACCCAACTACTTCAAAACGATCTTAACAGATTAGAGATGAATGGCTAAAACTAACAAAATGAAGTTCAGCAGTGACAAATCCATGATACTCCACTTGAGCAGAAAAAAATGAAATGCAAAGATACAGAATGGGGAACGTGTGGCTCGAGAGCAGTATGTGTGAAAAAGATCTTGGAGTCCTTGTGGACAACAAGATAAACATGAGCCAACAATGTGATGCAGCAGCTAAAAAAGCCAATGGGATTTTGGCCTGCATCGATAGGAGCATAGTGTCTAGATCCAGAGAAGTCATGCTACACCTCTATTCTACTTTGGTTAGACCATACTGAGAGGAGATATGATACCTAGAATCACACTGTGTCCAATTCAGGGCACCACAATTGAAGGGAGATATTGACAAGCTGGAATGTGTCCAGAGGAGGGCGACTAAAATAATCAAGGGTCTGCAGAACAAGCCCTATGAGGAGCGGCTTAAAGAGCTGGGCATGTTTATCCTGGAGAAGAGAAGGCTGAGAGGAGACATGATGAGGACCATGTATCAAGATGTAAGAGGAAGTCATAGGGAGGAGGGAGAAAGCTTGTTTTCTGCTTCCCTGGAGACTAGGGCACAGAATAATGGCTTCAAAAGACAAGAAAGGAGATTCCATTTGAACATTAGGAAGAATGTTCAATGTGAGAGCTGTTCAGCAGAGGAACTCTGCCCCGAGTGTGGTGGAGGCTCCTTCTTTGGAGGCTTTTAAACAGAATCTGGATGGTCATCTGTTGGGGTCGCTTCGAATGCGATTTTCCTGCTTCTTTGCAGGGGGATGGACTGGATGGCCCATGATGTCTCCTCCAACTCTATGATTCCATGATTCTATGAATGAAGAACAGCATCACTGGATTGTTGTCAGAAGACGCTTACTTCTTGGGAGGAGAGCAATGTCCAATATCAATAAATAGTAAAGAGTAGAGATATCACACTGGCAACAAAGATCCGCATAGTCAAAGCCATGGTATTCCCTGTAGTAACCTACGGATGTGAGAGCTGGACCTTAGGGAAGGCTGAGCGAAGGAAGATAGATTCTTTTGAACTGTAGTGTTGGAGGAAAGTTCTGAGAATGCCTTGGACCAGAAGAAGATCCAACCAGTCCATCCTCCAGGAAATAAAGCCCGACTGCTCATTGGAGGGAAGGATCTAGAGACAAAGTTGAAGTACATTGGCCACATCATGAGGAGACAGCAAAGCCTAGAGAAGACAAGTTATGCTGGGGAAAATGGAAGGAAAAAGGAAGAGGGGCCGACCAAGGGCAAGATGGATGGATAGCATCCTTGAAGTGACTGGACTGACTCTGAAGGAGCTGGGGGAGGTGACGGCCGACAGGGAGCTCTGGCGTGGGCTGGTCCATGAGGTCACAAAGAGTCGGAGACGACTGAATGAATGAACAACAATGGCAATGTTCTAGAAGCATTCGCTCCTTATGTTTCACCTGCATCTATGGCAAGCATCCTCAGAGGTTGTGAGGTCTCTGAGGATGCTTGCAATAGATGTAGGCAAAATGTCAGGAGGGAATGCTTCTAGAACATGGCCATATAACTTGAAAAACCTACAACAGCCCAGTGATTCCAGCCATGAAACCTTCGACAATATTGTTTATAAATTACTCGAGAAAGTCATCCACCATCCAAGGAAGGCACTCACTTTAGATTACTGGAATAGGCTCTGGCCCCATCTACACTTCCATATAATCCAATTTCTGAATGCAGATGATCTGCTTAAATAGTGTACAAGCTATTTAACCGCAATAGGCTGAAAGCCAAAACCAAGATCATAATGTCTGTTATAGAACTCCAATATGTGGATGATAATGTAGTTTGTGCTCATTCAGAAGAAGGCCTACAAGCCAGTCTGAACATGTTTACAGAAGCATACGAAAAGCTTGGCCTCTCACTGAACATCGGGAAAACCAAAGGGCTCTTTCATCATGCACCAACCAGTCCTTCTCCAATGCCACAAATAGAGCTTAATGGTGTAACGTTAGAAAATGTTGACCATTTCCACTACCTTGGCAGCCATCTCTCGCCACCGAAATACAACACCGCCTGAACTCTGCGAGTGCAGCATTTATTTGAATGAAGCAGAGAGGATCAAGGCATTTGTAGGCATACCAAGATGCTTGTTTATAAAGCTATTGACTTCCCAACCCTGTTATACACCTGAGAAACATGGTCCATCTACAAATGTCACGTTCAATTGCTGGAACGATTCTATCAGTGTTGCCTCTGAAAACTCCTGCAAATCTCTTGGGAAGACAGGTGGACAAATGCCAGCGTTCTGGAAGAAGAAAAGACCACCAACACTGAAGCGATTATAGAATTGAAAGAGACCTCGTGGGCCATCTAGTCCAACCCCCTGCCAAGAAGCATGAAAATCACATTCAAAGCACCCCTGACAGATGGCCATCCAGCCTCTTCTTAAAAGCCTCCAAGGGAGGAGCCTCCACCACACTCCGGGGCAGAGAGTTCCACTGCTGAACGGCTCTCACAGTCAGGAAGTTCTTCCTCATGTTCAGATGAGGAAGAAATTGTTCCTCATCTGAAGTTCTTCCTCAAGTTCTTCCTCATGTTCCTTTCTTGTAGTTTGAAGCCATTGCTCCGCGTCCTAGTCTCCAAGGAAGCAGAAAACAAGCTTGCTCCCTCCTCCCTGTGACTTCCTCTCACGTATTTATACATGGCAATCATATCTCCTCTCAGCCTTCTCTTCTTCAGGCTAAACATGCCCAGCTCCCTAAGCCACTCCTCATAGGGATACCCGATCAACATCTCCCAAAACAATTGCTTTACTCTCACCTCAAGAACTGAAAGCAAAATGTCAGTTGACAGCAAAAGAGATTTAAAGATGGGCCTAAAGTTAACCTTAAAAACTGTGGCAGACACCAAG